CCCCCCCACCCCCGACTCTGGGCGCCGGGAGCGGAGGAGCAGCCGGCGGCCTGGGCGCATTTGCAGGGGGCTTGGGCCCGGGGCGTCCTTGACCGCGGTGTGCGCCCCACACCGAGCACCTTGGCGTGCGTGCATACTATGCCCGCGCATGACCGCTGGAATGTCAGAGGCCATCTCCCTGCCTGACAGCGATGGGGAAAGCCCCGGGCGCTGGTGTTTGGCCCCTCGTTCGAAAAGGGCCAGCCGTGCCGAGTGTTCGCCTTCGGCCCGGGGGCCGGCGGGGGGGCGGGGGGCCTCTCGAGTCTACCCCGCGAGGCCGGGGGCCCCTGCGCGCTGGCTCCGCCCCGCCGGTGCCCCGCGCCCTCCCCTCCCGCTTCCGTGTGTCTCGCTCGCCGCGCGCCTGGCTCGCATGCTCCCTCCTCCTTGACGCCCCCCCCCCCCGGCCTCCGCGCGAGGTGGCTCACGCGCTCGCATGCCCAGGGGACCCGGATGTCAGGCGGCTTTTTTCCGACTGCCTCCCCGCCTGGCCGCGTGTCTGGCCCCCCCCCCCCCCCCCCCCGAAGGCTCCCGGCTTGCGGGCAAAAGGCCCCCTCCCGCCGCCGCCGGCCGGAGAGCGAGGCGCCAGTGAAAACGTCGGTCCCCTCCCCTTTCCGCCGGCATGTCTGACGACCGCCCGCCGCACGGGCTGCAGGTTCCCGGGAGCTCCGTCAGATCCGTGTGTTGTTAACTCACGCTAAACTCAGACCGGCAGCCGGCGCCCCCTACTCCCCGATCGGCGACAGTGCACACACACACACACACACACACACACACACACACACACACACACACAGGCGCAAGCAATCTATGTTCATTTTGAGGCTGGCCGCCTTCGGCGCACTCGGATGGTGACCGAGGGACACGGGGAACGAAGGGCCGAGGAAAGAGCAAACGGATGAGCACGGCGTATGGCCGGGCGCACAGGCACACCAGCCACCCTCGGGCAGGCAGGCGGGCAGGCGGGCAGGCAGGCAGGCAGGCACATACACACACACACATACACATACATACATACATGCATGCATCAACAGCGCCATCACCATCACCTCATTCAATCGTCGAAGGTGATCTTGGTGCCCTGCGACAGGGGGATGCCGCCCGGGCCGAAAGTGCCCTTGATGCGGTTGGTCTGCTCGCCGGCGTCCTCGCCGCCGGTCTGGCTGCTGCTGGCCGCCAAGGCCGCATAGCGACTCTCGGAGAAGGTGCGCACCGGGGCAGCGGCAGGCCGGTCGGCCTCGGGGCCGGCCGCCGCACCCGCGGCCGCATCCTTGCCACCGCGCACCCGGACCCGGCGCTTCTTGTTCACGCGGCCCGACTCGGTGGCCAGCTGCTGGCCCCGGTGGTGGAGCTTCCCCCGGCGCACGGCCTCCGAGGAGGCATACTCCACACGGACCGACCGGCCATCGATGAAGAGGGACTCCGCCGCGTCGTAGGCCTTTTGCGCGTCCTCCTGCGACGCATAGTCCACCAGGGCGAAGCCCTTGCACCGGCCGGTATCCTCGAAGGTCATCACTCGAATGCCCTCCAGCTGGCCGAACGGCGAGAAGACATTCCGCAAAATGTCGGCCGTGGTGCTGAAGGAGAGATTCCCCACAAAGAGCGAGGTCGTCTGGGGGAGGTCCGTGCGCGAGGCCACGGCGCCGTACTTGGCCGTGCGCTCGTCCACCACCGGGCCGGCGGCGTCCTCGCCGGTGCCGGACCCGTCGCCGGAGGCCTCCTCGGCCTCCGACCGGGGGCGCTTCTGCGTGCGGAGGGCCGCCGGGCCGCTCGGGCCCGAGGCCGGCGCCTGCTTGGAGAAGTCCGACGCGTCCTTGATCAGCACTCGCCGGAAGACCAGGGTCGACTCGCTGAGCTTCCGGGCCTTGAGCACGGCCTCCGCCGTGTCGAAGTCCACATAGGCGAAGCCCCGGTTGGTGCCCTTGGCCGGGTCCTTCGGCAGGTGAATGCGAGTGATCTTGCCACACTCGGCGAAGAACTCGGCCAGCTCGTCCTCGCGCGTGCGGAAGTGCAGGTTGCCGATCCAGATGCCGTGCTTGCTCCGCTGGGGGTGTGTATGTATATGTGGCCGTTTTCAAGTGTCAGGGGGGATTAGAGGCGAGCATGGGTGGGCAGTAGAAAGGGGAGGGGGAGGGGTGCGGAGGGCCGCCGGGCCGCTCGGGCCCGAGGCCGGCGCCTGCTTGGAGAAGTCCGACGCGTCCTTGATCAGCACTCGCCGGAAGACCAGGGTCGACTCGCTGAGCTTCCGGGCCTTGAGCACGGCCTCCGCCGTGTCGAAGTCCACATAGGCGAAGCCCCGGTTGGTGCCCTTGGCCGGGTCCTTCGGCAGGTGAATGCGAGTGATCTTGCCACACTCGGCGAAGAACTCGGCCAGCTCGTCCTCGCGCGTGCGGAAGTGCAGGTTGCCGATCCAGATGCCGTGCTTGCTCCGCTGGGGGTGTGTATGTATATGTGGCCGTTTTCAAGTGTCAGGGGGGATTAGAGGCGAGCATGGGTGGGCAGTAGAAAGGGGAGGGGGAGGGGGGGAGGGAGGGAAAGAGGGAGAGAGAAGCCACACACCTTCAAGGACTTGGAAGCACCGTCGTCAGCCTTCTGGGGCTCCGCAGACTCCTTGTCCTTCTTGTCCTTCTTGGACTCCTTGTCCTTCTTGGACTCCTTGTCCTTCTTGGACTCCTTGGACTCCTTGTCCTTCTTGTCCTTCTTGGACTCCTTGTCCTTCTTGGACTTCTTTTCAGCCTTCGCCGCCTCCTTGGCCGCCTTCTCGGCCTCCTTCTTCGCGGCCTTGGCAGCCTTCTTGGCGGCCTTCTCGTCGACCTCCTCGTCGGAGCTGTCCACATCCATGGACACCACCCCGGCGGCAGGCCCGGCATCCGACGCCTCGGACTCCGAATCGCTGGCCGTGTCCGCACCCGCGGCCGAGTAGATGTCACTGGCTGAGCCGATGGCCTTGCCGGCCGGCCGGCCGCCGGCGACAGGCGCGGCGCCGGCCCCCGGGGCCTTGGCGCTGGAGGCCTGAGTGAGAGACGCCAGCAGGGCCGACTTCTTGTCCTTGGCCTTGGGCTTGGCCTGGTACGCGGCGAACATGTCCTCGTCGTCGCTGTCGGCATCACTGTCGGCGTCGCTGTCGGCGTCGCTGTCGGCGTCGCTGTCGGCATCGCTGCCCGAAGCCGAGTCCGAGTCCGAGGAGGAGGAGTCGGATTCCGACGAGGAAGAATCCGAGGAGCTGCTCTCCGCAGCGGCGACCGCCGCCGCCGCCGCCGCGTTGGCCTTCGCCAGCGCGGCAGCCTGCCGGCGCAAGCCGGCCTCAATGTTGTCGAAGACCTCCGCCAGGCCGGCCTTGGTGTCAACCGACTCGAAAACCGCGTACGTCCGATCCGCCGGGTCGGCGATCTCCTTCAAGTTCCAGGTGGCTGCATGCGTGTTGGTAGGTCAGGGGAGAGACGGTGCCGGAGATGCCGCACATCCGCGTGTAAGGCAGCCAGCAGGGGAGGGGATGCGCAAGGACACCCCCACCCCCACCCCCACACATGCATATGTATATATGTATGTATGTATGCGCGCGCGCGTGGGTGGGTGCGGAGAGGGAGGCGAGGCAGACAGATGTGATGCAGGCGCACCGGCGCGGCTGAGCGCGAACTTCTTCAGGCTCTCGACCGTCAGCTCCGGCTCCTTGGGAGTCATCCGCCGGAAGACGATGTTCCCCCGCAGGGCGGTGGCGCCGTACGGCGAGGGGAGGGTGAAATTCTCGGCCGAGTGAGGCTCATGGCGCATGGCCACCGAGGGGCTCGACCCGAATGCCGTGATCGAGGCGCCGCTCCACTATTGCAAGGCATGTTAGACAGGCCGGCCGGGCAGGGCAGAGGGCACGGCGGAGGAAGGGCAAAAGGTACCTTGGCGATGGTCGCCGGGTTGGGGCCGAGATAGTCCTGAAGAGAGGCGTACGGGATGGCCTGGACCCGGCCATTCGGGGTGACCAGGATGGCCATGCCCTCGGAGTGAGAGGTCATATCTGGATGGAAATAGGGGCGGGGGGGGGGCTAGCGAGAGGGCCCGACCGAGAATTCCCGCAGGTAAGGCAG